AGGACTCAAGTTTCACTATATAAACTGGGGTCCAAGAAGGAGACCAGATGGGAAGAGAAGAATAAGAAGGAAAGATCTGGAAGAAGAACTCGCCCCCAAGACTCAGCCTAAGTTCAGAGCTGGTAAGAATCCTCTGCACAACCATGATGTGCAGCAACTGGGACCCAGATGAAACCAACCTTGCCTGGCCAACTTGGAAAGTCTGCCTGCGTCATCAGGATTGGTGAGCATGGCATTGTATGCTTAATGTGTATTCTGCTTGGTAATTGTTAATAAATAGAGGATCAGGATATTACTGTGTAAGGCTCTTTCACTGGTAAAAGGTCCTGCACACCCGCAGAAGTAGAAGGGTGTGGGTACTTAAATTGACCAGGTTAGTTACACCCTGAGCCCCACGAATTGGGTAAGGGTAGGTGCTTTTCTCCTGGAGCCCTACAAATTTGGAAAAAGTGGGGGTGCCTAAATTAACCGGGTTATACCTGGAGCCCTACAGACTGGGAAAAGGTGGGGTGCCCTAATGCGTGCAGGTAACACATCTGGCACATAAATATCTTGCGATGACGACGCCGGCTACAACAGTGCCATGTGAACGCCTGTTCTCACTTCCAGGTGACATTGTAAACAATGTCCTGCAAATGTAAACAAACTTGTTTGTCTGAGCGATTGGCTGAACAAGAAGTAGGACTGAGTGGACTTGCAGGCTCTAAAATTTTACATTGCATTAAAAAATAAAACAGGTTTTTTTGTACATAATTCTACATTTGTAAATTCATTCAACTTTCATGATAAAAAGATTGCACTACAGTACTTGTATTAGGTGAATTGAAAAATACCCTTTCTTTTGTTTTTTTTTACAGTGAAAATACTTGTAATAAAAAATAAATATAAAGTGAGCATTGTACACTTTGTATTCTGTGTTGTAATTGAAATCAATATATTTGAAAATGTAGAAAACATCCAAAAATATTTAAATAAATAGCATTCTATTATTGTTTAACCGTGCAATTAATCGCACGATTAATCACAATTAATTTTTTTAATCGCTTGACAGCCCTAAATTAAATCAAGATTGGATCATTCTAAAAGGTCTTGTCAACCAGAAGTGATGGGCTGGATGCTGGAATCACTGGGGAGGGTCTCTGGCCTGTGTTATTCAGGAGGAGATCGGACTAGATCAGTGGTTCTCCAACAGGGGTACACAAAGGTCTTCCAGGGAGGTACATCAACTCATCTAGAGATTTGCCTAGTTTTACAACAGGCTACATGAAAAGCACTAGCAAAGTCAGTACAAACTAAAATTTCATACAGACAATGACTTGTTTATACTGGTCTATATACTATATCAGTGTTTCTCAGTGGGGTGGGGGTTGTGATTTTAGTTTATAATTACATGGTAAAAATGAGAACGGAAGCAATTGTTCAGTAATAGTGCACTGTGACACTTGTGTATTTTTATGTATGATTTTGTAAGCAAGTGGTTTTTAAGGGAGGTGAAACTGGGGGTACACAAGACAAATCAGCCTCCTGAAAGGGATCCAGTACTCTGGAAAGTTTGAGAACCACTGGACTAGATTATCATAATGGTCCCGTCTGGCCTTGGAATCTATAAATCACTGCAGAATGAAGAGAAATGGTTCTAACTGTCTCATCATAAATAAAAAACATGCACATGAATAAACTTTCAAAATAACTCGTGTCAGAGTTTGGAATAATCTTCAGTGAATCCATTTTCAGCTCACAAGCTTCAAGACTCTTTGCTAGGGGCATCTGAAGAATGGGTCAAAAGATGGGTCATTTAATTGCCTGTAAAATAACCCATACACTAACAAAGAGATTTCCTTGTGGAGCCTCAGAATATGTGCTCCATTCCCTGACAGCCAGGCAAGAACTGGGACAGCAAGGTGGGGAACAGACACTGGGGGCATGACTACACTCGCAGATGTAGAGCGCTTTGGGCTGGTCCACACTAACCCCCCAGTTCGAATTAAGATACGCAACTTCAGCTACGTGAATAACGTGGCTGAAGTCGAAGTATCTTAGTTCGAACTACGAGGTACTTACCGCGGGTCCACACGCGGCAGGCAGGCTCCCCCGTCGACTCGCGGAACAGGAGTACCGGTGTCGACGGTGAGCACTTCCGGGATCAATTTATCGCGTCTAGACAAGACGCGATAAATCGATCCCAGAAGATCGATTGCTTACCACCAAACCCGGAGGTAAGTATAGACGTACCCTTTGAGTTAAACCAGCCTTTGTGGAGTGCAGTAGGGAAAGCGCTGCAGTCTGTCCACACTGACAGCTTCAAGCGCACTGGCGTGGCCACATTTGCGGCACTTGCAGCGGCATTGGGAGCGGTGCAATATGGGCAGCTATCCCAGCATGCAAGTGACTGCAACGTGCTTTTCAAATGGGGGGGCGGGGGTGGAGTGTGACAGGGAGTGTGTTGTGTGTATGTGGGGGGAGAGAGAGTGGGTTTTGGGGGGACTGAGAGGATGTCAGCATGCTGTCTTGTAAGTTCAGACAGCAGCAGACTCCCCTTCCCGCCCCCGCCTCTCTCTCACACACACACACAGCATTCCACACTAATGGTTGCTTTGTCTCGGAGCAGATAAGCAGCCGGCTGTCAGAAACGGAGCTTTCAAAGGGCATATCTGCATTCCTGCAGCGATTCAAAAACAATGACAAGAGTGGCCACTTGACTTAAGGGGATTATGGGACGTTTCCGGAGGCCGATCAGAGCGCAGTAATGCAACACCTCATTCACACTGATGCCCGGGCATTGTAGCCAAGGCGCAGCAAACGTTATTCCCCTCGCCAAGGTGGACTCCCAGGAGCACTCTAGCTGTGGAGTCAGAGCGCTCTCCGTGCCTTGCCAGTGTGGACGGGGAGTGAGCAAGTGCGCACGGGGCTCCTTTATTGCGCACTAACTCGCAAGTGTAGTCAAGGCCTGAGTTCGTCTTGCATAGCCAGGAGATTTAACTCTCACTTCAAATGCAAATCTCAACAGGGCCTGCCCCATGGAGTCACTCTGACCCCTCCGATATTGCAAGTGTTGAGTCTACAGCCCATCTTCCTCATCTGGGCATCTCAGGCACTTTCAGAGACTGGTTCGTATTTCTGCTGTGGATCACTGAGGCCTGGTCTACACTGGGGGGTAGGGGAATCGATCTAAGTTACGCAACTTCAGCTATGTGAATAACGTAGCTGAAGTCGACGTACTTAGACCTACTCACCGCAGTGTCTTCACTGCAGTGTGTCAACTGCTGCCGTTCCCCCGTCGATTCTGCCTGCGCCTCTCGCGGCGGTGGAGTACAGGAGGGGCAGGGGAGGCATCAAAGTAGGAGGGGCAGATTTTCCATCTTTTGGAGACTCTGCTGTGTGGTGAGGCGTCTCTCTGACAGCTCTGCACTAGCTCAACCTGGCCCTCTGGGATAGTGGGACTCATGTGGAGCGGAGGAATAGTGCCCCTGTGGCAGGGGCTCTGGATGCAGTTCTCTCACTTGGTGTTGCAGGAGACCAGGCTGCAGGGTCCCTTGGCCTTGACAGCCATGAATTTCAATTCTCCTTAAAAAAAAATAACCTGAAAGGCCCCTATGACGCTCCGTTGGGCACTAGGGCCTGGCTGGGGGATGCTCTGCAGGAACAGGGGTCCGTGGGGTACTGGGACCAGCCTGGGGGATGCTCTGCAGGAACGGGGCTCCGTGTGGTACTGGCTCCTGACTGAGGGATGCTCTGCAGGAACAGGGGTCCATGGGGTACTGGGGCCTGGCTGGGGGATGTTCTGCAGGAACAGGGGTCCATGGGATACTGGGACCAGGCTGGGAGATACTCTGCAGGAAAGGGGCTCTGTGGGGCACTGGGGCCTGCCTTGGGGATGCTCTGCAGGAACAGGGCTCTGTGGGGTAGTGGGGCCTGGC